GAAGAGGAGGAGGAAGGAAGAGGAGGAAGAGAAAGGAGAAGAAGAAGAAGAAGAAAGAAGGAGGAAGAAGAAGAATGATGAGGAGGGAAGAAGAAGCAGGAGGAGGAATGAGGAGGAGGAAGAAGAAGAAGAGAAGAAGAAAGAAGGAGGAGGAGGAGGAAGAAGAATGAGGAGGAGGAGGGAAGGAGGAGGAGGAGGAGGAGCAGAAGGAGGAGGAGGAGGAAGAGAAAGGAGAAGAAGAAGAAGAAAGGAGGAGGAGGAAGAAGATAAAAGGATGAGGAGGGAAGAAGAAGGAGGAGGAGCAGGAGGAGAAGGAAGAGGAAGGGGAAGAAGAAGAAGAAAGGAGGAGGAGGAGGAAGAAGAAGGATGAAGAGGGAAGAAGAAGAAGGAGGAGGAGGAGTGAGGAGGAGGAGGCAGAGGAAGAAGAAGTAGAAGAAGAAAAGGAGGAGGAGGAGGAGGAGGAGTGAGGAGGAGGAGGCAGAGGAAGAAGAAGAAGTAGAAGAAGAAGAAGAAAAGGAGGAGGAGGGAAGAAGAAGAAGAAGAAGAAGAAGAAGAAGAAGAAGAAGAAGAAGAAGAAGAAGAAGAAGAAAGGAGGAGGAGGAGGAAGAAGAAGAAGGAGGAGGAGGAAGAAGAAGGAGGAGGAAGAAGAAGGAGGAGGAGGAAGAAGAAGGAGGAGGAAGAAGAAGGAGGAGGGAAGAAGAAGGAGGAGGAGGTGGAGGAGGAGGAGGAGGAGGAGAAGAAGAAGAAGAAGAAGAAGAAGAAGAAGAAGAAGAAGAAGAAGAAGAAGAAGAAGAAGAAGAAGAAGAAGAAAGGAAGAAGAAAGGAGAAGGAAGGGGAGGAGGAGGAGAAAGAACAAGGATTCAGTCTGGGCAAAGCCCATTTGGCTGAGATTATCCTGAATTGCCTGAGATTATATTTTGCCCCAAAAAACATGATCCTGTAGGAAGATACAGCTCCAACCGACCTGCATGGTGCCTGTCACCTTGACCTTCAGTCAAAGCAGGTGGTGTTGGCAGTTGGTGGCTGGCCACCCTCTCCGCCCGGCCCCCTCACCTGCAGGGGAGCGTTCACCTCGTCGGCCGCACACAACAGTCGTCTCTTGATGGTGTCCAAGCTACTGTACTCCGACATGAGCCTCTCAAGCTCGTAGCACAGCTCAGCCTTCCAGAAGCCGATGTCTGACAGCCTCTGACCCAGGTTCCGGGAGGTCCCCTCCTGCATCTGCTGAGTGAGTTGCTCCTTGTCCTGCATTAGATGCATGGAGTCCCCGGTCAGCCTGCTGGCCCACAGCCGTGCAGCCTCGGCGCCCCGGATCTGCAGGTGGCTGGACTGGTCCCAGTCGTGGTGGCTGTAGCGACAGAAGAGCGCAGAGCGCAGCGCTGGCAGGATGGTGGGCGGGCGCCGGCTGGCGCGACACTCATCGGGACAGGTCTGGGTGGTGGAGATCTTGTAGAAGAGGCTGGGCCTCCACGCGTTGAGGTAGCGGTACCCCGGCAGGTGATAGGGCTGGTAGCACTCCTGGATCGTGGGAGCCTGCTCGGCAGGGGGCAGCACGCTCAGGCTGCACCCTTTCCTGGGGCCACAGTAGCTGGCGGTCTGAGAAGTTCCAAGAAACTCCATCCTTCCTCATCAACCCCACATGGGCAAAACTCTGCCTCCAGGGGCAAAGGCATCCCCAGGACAGGGGAGAGGGCTTTTGTTAGGGGCAGACAGAGCCTCTGTGACTCAGCACCGGTGTCACAAAGCGTGAGGAGAGAGACTTTGAGCCTGGCCTTTGCTTACTTTCAGGCCAACTAGGGCCATATTTTTTGCCCAAATCAAAATTAGTTACGGGCTGGGGCGGAGCTCAGTGACAGAGTGCTTGCATGGGGTGTGCAAGGCCCAGTTAGATCCAGCATCACACACACACCAGTCAACCAAGCCAACATGACTTTCTCAATCCACAGATTTGGGGACGCAAGAAATGCATCATATCTGTCCTTCTATAAGAACTCCTTAAGTCTATAGTAACTCGGCCCATGGGAGAAAATTTAATGCAGTGAACTCCATCAGCTATGTGTCAATTTAGTCACTTAGTTGTTTCCTTCTTTGTCCCCAAGATGACATCAAAATGGTCACCTAGACCACGGAGCAGCGCTCAGCATTGTGCTCACGAGAACATGCATAAATGTCAGCGATCTCGAAAGCAGAAGCTGGGCTCAAAAAGTGCCTCCATTTCCCCCAGGCCCGAGGGGATGCAGGAAGCAGACAAGACACGGAGGACCCCACTCAGCTGTGGCCGCTCCTGTCTGACTTGGCCAAGCCTGGGTGCTGCAGGTGTGTGTGGGGTGTCAGGCATAAACAGCTAGACCACAAAGAGGCTCCCTAGGACCTCCCCGCCATGACAGTGCAAGACTGCTGGGGTGGGCAGAAGTCTAGAACAGCCCAAGGGGCAAAGGTGACTCTATGGTGACTTCCAGGGAGGATTGCTCTGCAGGCTGCAGGCTTCAGGCCCATGCTTGTCTGGCCTTCAGGTCACTTGCTTGAGTGACTTGGGGAGTTGTGTGGAAAAGAACCACACTGGAAGTCTGGCCCACAAAGAGAAACTGAGGCAACAAAGAAGCTATCCGATTTAGCCATTTGGGGCTCTGGCTTGATTTTCCTAAGCAAGGTGGGGCTTTTTGAAGCAAAGACTTAATTTCAGTTTTGATGTCTGATTTTGCACACACATTTCTTGTGGTACTTGGCGTGGAGGTACTCAGGGCCTCCCACTTGCTAGGTTAAGTGCTCTACCATGTAAGCCACACCCAAGCCCCATAACAGACACTTTTAACAAGCTGGTTTACATGCACATACGTATTTGTGTATGTGTGCATAACCTATGTGCATTTTTCCCTGCTATAAGGAAAGATAAGACTTTATGCCAGGGTCAAACAGAGAAGCAGGGAGTACCATGCGAGGTGGAGTGTTTGTATTTGGAAGGGGAACATTTCTGTTTCTTTTGCTGAATTCAGACAATACCTTCAAAACCAAAATGTATTTATGTTGTCTTAAAAATTCAAACTTAAAACTAAAAGTAATGTTGTATAAAGGGAGAAGGTGTTGAAAAAATTATGTACTCCTGGTAGATGCTCTAGGAACACCGCTGCTTAGAGACTCCATCCATCTCCAGCAGACTGTTTTCAGTCTTAGACTTTCAGGTGTGGTGGTACACTCCTGTAATCCCAGCATTCAGGAGGCCAAGGCTGGAGGATCACGAGTTTGAGACCAGCCTGGGCTATACAGACAGACCCTATTTCAAAAAGCCAAAAAAATAGTGGGGAGGAGGAGGAGAAAATCTACAGGTGCTGATGCAGTCATCTTGCAGTTGGACGGGTGACTGAGGAGGCCAGACTCCCCCAAGTGCAGAGACAGGCAGCGTCCTAACGTGTCTGGTGGGTGACATCAGTGTGGAGGATGGCGTTGGCTTTCAGAGGCCTAAGCAGCATTGGAAGAACCGAGGTTGGGCAGTGCTGGGGTCCTGTGTGGGGAGAGCAGAGCAGGCGGGGACCCTCCAGTGTGCTGTGTTGTACACTGTGCATCTCAAACCGGGACGAGGTATTACCGATTCCAAACTCGGACTGGCGGCCGGGAAGGAGTGGAGGAGGGATGGGACAGTACCAGTGTGTGTCACGTCGCCAGGTGAGTGTGCGTGTGAGAGAATCAGTGAGTGAGGGAAGTCAGACTCCAGGTGTGTGAGCATCTGAGTGTGTGAGCACACACACATTTGTGTGTGAGTGTGACAGTGAGCGAGAGACTGTGACTGTGTGCATGATTGTGAGGGAGTGAACTCTGTGTGTGTGTGTGTGTGTGTGTGTGTGTGTGTGCGTGTGTGCGCGCATTTCTGGGCCTAGTGTGCGGTCAGGCAGGAGAGGATGCTGGGAACACAGACAGAGGAGATGTGTGACCTTGGTGAGCCTGTGTGGGCAGCGGCCACTCAGGAGCAGCTGGCTAGTGAACGGTTGTGAGAGGGTGGGACAAAATCTTCCAATGCAATTTATAGACATTGTATGTCATATGTACATGTAATATGTTATATGTAATATATGATACATGAAATATTCATGCATCATTTTTATTCTTTTATTTTTTATTTTCTTTTTTATGCATCATTTTTTAATTCTAAATTTTATTCCTCAAACAACATAAAGAGCAAATGAATATTTTATAATACATAAATGTGCCATGCTACAATATTGTATAATGCACATATATACAGATGTGTGTGTGTTTGTGTTCACATAAATAAAAACCCAGTAGGACTTTCATTTCTGATCAAGATTGAGTAAAAGACAAATTTAGGGCCAGGCATGGTTGTAAACACCAGTAATCCCAGCTACTCTGGAAGCAGAGGTAGGAGGATTTCAGTCCTAGGCCGGCCCAGGCAAAAGCTGGAGACCCTAATGAAAACAAAGTAAAGCCAAAAAGTGGAGTGGCTCAGGTGGTATCACATATGCCTAGCAATCGTGAGACTCTTAGTTTAAACCCCAGTACTGCCAAAAAAAAAAAAAAGGATGTGCTTGCAATGTGGCACTACTCACAAATACCCCCAATACACAAAGCAATGGTTTTCAAGACACTGACTATGGGGCCACAGTGACCCCGTGAGGCGGCAAACAGACAAGGTGAGTCCTGTGACTTCCCAGCTGACTGCCTGGAGGAAGTTTCCAGGTCATGGCACATGGAGGGTCCAGTGACCTTCTTGAGTTAAGCTGGGACAGTGGACACCAGGGTGGCTGGAGACTGAGGGACAGAGCATCAAGACAGAACCACACAGACAGAACCCTGGAGATGCATACAGGGTCCCCTCAGTCTTCAGTCCAGCACTGATCAGAGCATGGCTGTGAGCAAACGATCCAGTTGAGGAACGAACCGCCCAAAAGGCTTAAGGGAACAATCCCAGAGCTCCCATGGGTCTGGGAACAGGTCCTGATCCCACCAACCACAGAACACTTTGTGATTCACTCAGCATCCAGTCAGAGATGCACTGCTTCACTGTTAGGGCAGAATTAACTCTAGAATCATACCACTCTGGTTCTACCTGACAAATCTTAAGAGCAAGTCCCCAAAGATGCAAATATTTCCAAGAAAATTACCTTTGTCCTTAAAGTCACAACTATTAATAAGATTATGAAAAATGTCAGCACCCAATGAGACAAAAACTCACAAGGTCTGGAACCAAATTTTAAAAAAATCACCAGGCAGGCAAAGAAACAGGAAAGTCACTGAAACCAAACCAGAAAGACACCCAGAACCGAATCAGCAGACAGGAGATTTTTAAGGTTTTTGCAGCTCTATTCTATACGCTCAAGAAGTCAGAGGACAGAAGAACACGCTGAGAGGGGACACAAGGTGTCTGATGCCTGGAGGAATGGGGTACAAATGGTCTCCTAAGCCTGATTTGCTTGCTGGGTAACGTTGATCATAGCTGGGGGAAGACCTCCACCTGGTGGTGGAATCTAGAACTGCATGCACCTTCTGCACATCTTGAACCTGAGGCTCCTTGGCCACGTGAACCTGTTCAAAACAGACCCTGTAATGCAGAATCAGCAGCTAACATTTTAACCTGCCTGACCCACGTTCTGGTCTCATTGCATCCACTGACCTATTGTAATGCCACTCTCTCCATCTTAGCTTCATTTTCTCCCCTCCGTAAGTAAGGAAGACCTACAACCCTAAATTTACCTACCCACAACTGTGTCTTGGATCCGTAACTCTCTGGAAGCTGAGTCTTGGTCCCTTGCATGCATTATTCCATCCTTCGGAACCTCAGGAGGTAAACACTTTGATTCTCCCTGTTTCACAGATGAACAAACTAAGGCTTAGGGACAGGGAGGGATTTGTCCAATGCTATTTAGCTCACAAGAGCTGGGATCGGGACTTGCACATGGGTCTCACGCCAGACACTAGCTGTAAACCTGTCAAATCTACCCTCTCCCTTCCCTGCCATCACTAAAAACCCTCAAGGGTTTTGAACATGTCTAGACTCCATCCCACGGGATGGGGGAGGAGGACCCAGGGACATGATTTTTCTTGGCAGTACTGGAGATGGAACTTAGTGCCTCATGCTTGCAAGGCAGGCGTTCAACCCCCTGAGCCACAGCCTCAGCCCTTTTTTGCTTTAGTTTTTATTTTTCAAATAGGGTCTCAAGCTTTTGTCTGGGGTTTGCCTTGGACAGCAATTTTCCCACCTCCACCTCCAGAGTAGGCCAAGGATTTAGAAGACTCCCTAGTCACTACAGCGCGTGGTCGGGTTGAGAAGTCCTGCTAGAGGAGGTGTGCTCCTATGTCCTAAAACTCTGAGCACAGATGTAAGCTTTAATAAGCTCAGAAGTATAAACACTTTAAAAATTAATAGGCTTTGTTTTTGGAGTACACAGGAAATTGAGCAGAAGCTTCAGAGAATTCCCATCTCCTCAGTTTCTCTTATCAACGTCTTGCACTAGTGTGGTTCATGTGTGACAATGGTACAACCAATAATGGTACAATTATTACTACTGCAGTACTGGGCTTTGAACTCAGGACCTTGGGCTTGCTAGGCAGGCACTCTACCACTTGAACCATTTTTGCCTTAGTTTGTTTTTTTGAATAGGGTCTTGCAATTTTGCCCAGGCTGGCCTCAGACCATGATCCTCCTATCTCTACTTCCAAAGAAGCTGGGATTACAGGCATGTACCACCACACCTGGCCCCTCATTGATTAACTGCAGTCTGCAGTTTATGTTGTGGGTCACTCCCATTTCATGGGATTTGACAAAGGGAAGAAATTCTTTAAAAATATGAATCCAGTCTTTCAAGCTTACAGCCTGACAGGGAGTGAGGAAGGAGGAAAGGTTGAAAAACAACAGGCATTTCTTCTCTGCCACTGTGCAAAGGACTCCCTGAGTGCTGTGTGGGAAGGAACCCTGCATCCTAAGCACAGGAGAAAGATGGAACGTGGCATCTCTGCTGACAGCAGCTGGGGGGCACCTGCCAGGGACTGTCTTGAGGTACATCAGTAAGTGTCCGTCTCAGGCCTCTGCAGTGTGGCAGAGGGGAAAAAGACCCTGGGATCAGAAGTGTTACAGTAGAGTCTGCTGGCTGTGTGACCTGGGCAGTGGTGTAACCTCTCTCTCTTCAGTAAAAGAATAATTTGCATGCTGTTCCTCATTCAGGATTCCATGTCCTGTGTCAGATTTGGTTGGAATCCTGGCTTCGGTTCCTGGGTCTATGACCATGGGCAAGTAACCAGGCCTTCTCACCTTCTTCCTGGCTGGCAGGTGGACCCCTTTGCCCTCCAGGTCTTGCTGATGCTGCTTGTTCAACAAGAAACACCACCCACTCCCACCCTGTCTGACTCAGCACCTCCATTTCCCACTGTCTTTAGGCTCCAGCTGAGATGGGGCTCCCCATGTGCTTCCTATGCCCCATCACCCCAGTCCTTTTTTTTTTTTTCAGTATTAGGGACTGAATCTAGTGCCTTTTTCCTTCCTTCCTTTTTGTTTTAATTTTCAAGATAGGGTCTTGCTAACTTTGCCCAGGCTGGCCTCCAACTCTCAAACTTCCTGCCTCTGAACCCCTCCTCCCCCAAAAGCTGGGATCACTGGCGTGTGCCTCCACACTCAGCCCACCCTGGACCTCTTCTGTAAACATTCATCACACTGCAATGACGTTATTAATGATCTCTTGTCACTGAGCACAGGGTCAATCTAAACACACACACCCTGCTGCCAGTCATGTGACCTAAGTAGACAGTTTTAATTATCTTCAACCTCAGTCCCCTCATCCAAAAATGGAGACAGCGGGACCCAGAAGACAAGACCAAAGGGCATGCATTAAGACATTCACATAAAAGCTTACGTAAAGTAGCTGGAAAGCAGTAAGTGTTCAACAAACGCTACAACCAGCAATAGCAACAGGCAACTGGTCTATCACTGTTTAGTAAGTGACGTTTCCTATGTCCTTAGTGCCTGGGGCAGGTACGATTTGTGCCAAACCTGCAAGCAATGGCGCTCCAGAGCAGTAAGCACACACAGCACCCAGACTGACCACCGTTCCCCACTGAAGGCAACAGCAAAGACAGCTGGAGAGCCTGGAAGAGCTTCCTATGTCAGAAGGCAGGGAAAGGCTCCCAGAAGGTGAGCAAGTGCTGAAAGCATACATGAGTGGGGTAGAAAAGGCTTCACTGGACAAACTGGGAGGTGGGGGGAAGAGCAGGAAGAATAATTTATTATAAAACATAACTGTTTAAAACAATCCAAGAGTCCATAGTGATTCTCCAAAGGGGGAAAAAAAAAAGAGGAGAAAGTAAGTTCTTTAACAGGAATGCCCGCTAATAATTGTAGAAATAGTACATAATGATAGGATTGGGGAAAAAGCCACCGTGTGCAATTGCAACATAACTGGTTCAGGCAATGAGGCAGAAGCCTAGGGCAGAAGGGTGGATAAAGGATACTCATAGGCTCCCCGTGTTTCACCCCAGGGTCCCACTCACTGGAGGCACTGGGCAGACATCACCCTCACCAAGTGACCAATTTGACATTCTCAGTAATGGGACATGCTGATGTTATGTGCCAGCAACATCCAGGTGTGTTCTGCAAAAAGAAAAGAATAGTTAACCTGCACCTTATTAGGAGAGATAGTACGGGATATATTTTAAGACAGCTGGCCTGGACTCATCAAAAATTATCAATGTGAGAAAAGAACATTAAAAAGGAGACAAGAGATCTAACAAGGATACTGTGATTTGATTGAATTCAGGAGAGGGGCAGCTCATTTGGAAAACTGATAAAATCTGAATATAGATTGTATACCGACTAGCTAACAGTATTACGTCAACGTTACAATGCTACTTTTTTTTGGTGAGATTGACATTTGAACTCAAAGCTTCCGCTTGCAAAGCAGGCTCTCTACAGCTGGAGCCACACCTCCAGTCCATTTTGCTCTGGTTATTTTGGATATGGGGGGGTCTTAAGAACTACTTGCTCAGACTGGCCTCGAACCGCGATCCTCCAGGTATTGACGTGATATAGAATAATACCTTTGTTCTCAGGAGACAGATTTCTAAGTATTTAAAAAGACAGCTAGCAACAGCTCGGTCTTATAGGGAGCACAAATTAGACCCCAGCAAACCCTCTCCGCGCCAGGTCTGCGCATGCGCAATCTTCTTATTCCGAGACTCATTTCGCGCAGCTGGGAGGTCACGTTGGTCCCGCGAGACGGAAATGAGGCAGCGCAGCTTCCGGTTAAGTGCATCAACCAGAGCGGTATGATGGAGGAGGCGCCTCACGGTGAGCTCGCGGAGTGGGCGTGGGTAGTGGGGCTGAAAGGACACGAACTGCTCTAACTGTGATTCGTTTCCTCGCAGGCTGTCCAGGGGCTGACAGCGCCCAGGCTGGCCGAGGGGCTTCATGTCAGGGATGTCCCAACCAGCGTCTGTGTGCTTCTGGAGCCGGCGCTGCTCCGGACCCGGGTGAGGAAGGGGCGAGGCCTGAACAGGAAGTGACTAGCGCATCCCCGGAAGAGGCGGGGCTTAGGGAATACCGTGGGTGGTAATGAGAGGGCGGCCCTTGAGGCTATATTGTGCATATATTAAGAGCAGCGGTGCTCGAGTGGGCGGGGTGTGGAAGTCTTGGCGGAGTGAGGGGCGAGGCCTTTAAAGGGCAGTTGCGAAGGAAGGTGGCGGAAGTGGGGGCGGAGCCGAAAGATCAATGAAAGACGCGGAATCAAAGAGGTTAAAAAGGGGCGGGGAGAGAGGTTTGAGTAACTGTAGCCTACCGCAGTGCGCAGAAGGCAGACATAGGAGAGGGGATAGGCCAGCGCTGAGATCAGGGAGCCCCTGGACCTCAATTTTGGCGCCAACAAGACAGAATTCTCTTCCTTTTGAGGGTCGAATCTCCCATTCAGTAGGAATATGTGTTAATCACCTCCCAGGTACAGCGTCTGTGCTGGGGAGACAGCTTGTGATCAAGCCATTAAATCACTATGACAGTAAGTGGTAGGAAGCGCAAATTCCGGGGTGGGGGGACTTTGAGACCCTACTTAGAAGGATCTTGAAGCGCAGGAAGCTGAGGCAAGCATGGTGGCGCACAGCTGTAATCCCAGCACTCCAGAGGCTGAGGCAGGAGGATGGTGAGTGCCACACCAGTCTGGGCTACATAGTGAGACCCTGTCACTCTCTGATTCTTGGGTCCACTGCAAAGTGACCTGGAGCAAGAGTCAACCTCTCTGAGTCTTGTGTTCCTCTTCATAAATGGGAAGAGATTATAGAGTGTCATTTGAAGGATTTGAAATAAGAGGAAATACTCCAAGCACAGTAAGTGATGGTTTCAGGCTATCTGTCAATTTCTCATCCTCAGTACTGTTGACATCTGAAGTCTGATCATTCTTTGTTATAGAGTACTGTCATGTGCACTGTAGAACATTTACAGTGTCCCTGGCCTCTGTGACATCCAAAAATGTCCCCAGATGTTGCTGAATGCCCCAGGTTGTGAACTTTACTCTGCAAGGTTCTACTCAGGAGCTGATGGAGGCTTTGTTCAAACATTCCCTGTCCTCTTGGAGTTTATGTTCTAGTCAATGAGGTAATCACGTAAACCAATTAATAAGACAATTCAGGAGTGATGGTAGCCTAATTAGAAAATAAGGAAATGGTATCTCACACAGGATCCTTTGAAACAACCCAGAGGACTTAGCGTCTTCTCGCCCATGGGAAGTGTGGCAGTCAGGAGTTAGACAGGGACACCGTTATCTGAACTGCTTTCTTTGCAGCCATAGAGGAAATCAAAGAGAAAATGAAGACGGTGAAACACAAAATCTTGGTGTTATCTGGGAAAGGCGGCGTTGGGAAAAGCACTTTCAGTGCCCACCTGGCCCACGGCCTAGCAGAAGACGAAAATACACAGGTGGGACCCTGGGAGAAACTGGGAGATGATCCTTCTGTCTGGGGTCCATGATAGTTTTCAGAGAAGCATTCTTTAGACGAAGTGAAAGTGGCTTCTCTGACTATCTTGATCCCTGCAGAGAAGGAGCTGTGGCAGTCAGCTGAGGTATTTCACTGGGTTCTTGAGCCAAAAAAGTAGAGGGCAGGTATACATCTCCTTGCATGCTGGTGACATATATCATGTTCAGACTTTGCCTCTATATTAACCTCTTTTGGAGCCAGGAATCTGAACACTGTATTCATTGTACTAAACGCAGCCCATCTCCTGTGAGCTAAGAATGGTATTTACATCTTTAAATTACTGCTTTTAAATTGTTACATAAGTCCCTACGTATTATTCTTGATTTTGCCCTTAAGGCATAAATATTTTCTATTAGGCCCGTCAAGAAAATGTTTGCTGATCCTTGGACTTAGCCATTCATTTCTACCCCAGTGTACAGACAGCGTGAAAACTCAAGTCACTAATGCGCCTCCCTGGGTGATAACTTTAATGAAGGTGTGGGGGGTGAACTAGGACACAGGCTCCGAGGTGGACGGCCCAGTTTCACACCCCAACTCCATGCCCTAGGGCAGGCACCAGGCTCGGTCTGCCTCGGTGTTCTCATCTGTAAATGGGCTCAGAGGAGTGAGAGAGATGAAATATGTAAAGAGCAGCGCGGCACCTGACAGCTAGTGAGCATTCCGTAAATGTCCGTGACCCCATTGTCGTTACACTTCACCCCACTGCCCGGTGTGGGAAGGTGGTGATGATTCCTGCCTAAAGATGTATTTGTTGTCCATGCAGAGCAGATTAAAACATCCTGCCCATTCCCTGTCCTGTTAGGCAACACTCTCTCACCCTCCGAGGGTCCAATTTGCATTGCCTAGTTTGGTCAAGAAATCCATCTTCTCTGTCCATATTTGGAGGGTAGCTGTGGCCGAGCTCTTGCCGAGCATGCACCAGACCCTGGGTTTGAGTCTTACTACTGTAAAAAATGAAATCACGCAGAGTACTCTCTGCTTTTAGAAGCTGTTAAAAGTGCTCTTAAACAGCGTCTAGACACTGGCTCCTCCATTCTGCAGTGGTCCAATGTTAACATCACTCCTTCCACATAACGAGCTCTGAGTCCTTGCTGCACACAGCTAGACTGCAGGACCCTGAAAGAAACACACCAGGCAGCGTGGAGATGTGGCTTCCTAAGCTGTGTTTGTGTATGTGGTAGAGGTTAAAAAAACAAGTGTAGGAAACTGTTTTCCCTGGGCAGACTGCCATAACTGAGGGCCATGCTATCTCCAGTGGGCATGCGTTGGCACACAGCCAGCACTGAACAGGTCATTTGGAGTCAGGTAGCATGATTCCCTGGCCTCGGTCCCTAAATCCTCGCAGAGGACAAGCTGCAAGACCATTCTGTTTGTCATCTCATTTGGAAAGGACCTTGGATGAAGGGAACAGAAGTGCAAAACAGCCCCTGGGTCCCAGGCAGGTGAGGAGAGCTATAAGGAATCTCCATAGTCTGAGTTTGAGCCAAGGGACATCAGGAAGTCACATGCCAGCCTTCTACTGCCAGTGTCACCAGCTCCTCTAAACAATGATTGTGCACTGTGTCAGGTGTGGTGAGAGCCTTTCAGCTTATAGACTCCACAGCTGAAGGGAACTTGATCCCCCAGACTCATTTCACAGATTCCAAGCCTAGGTAGCTGAGGCATGGAAGAAAAACAGCTCGTGTGGGTGACACAGGCTTGGGAGACCAGAATTAGGACTAGAACTCTTTGTCATTTTAAGTAGAATTTGGGGGTGTTGGTTAAAGGGAAGCTTAGGGTTCCCACAGCCCCACAGCCAGGGCTTTCTCTTGCCATCAGCTCAGCTGCCCTGGTGAGGAGCAATGGCGGTCCCTTCTCAGCAGGGCTCTATGTCCCAACCTAGGCGGGACAGAAGTCCTGGCAGTACCTGAAGGAACCATCCTGGTGGTCTGGGCACAGAAACTCCTCAGTGGCCTTTCAGGTTCCCCCAAAGGGAGCATGTTCCATCTGAGGATTGCATTCTTGCCTCATTTTACTGTCCTCTATTTGGGTATGGACATGTCCTTCCTCAAAAGAACACTGATGAAGCTGTTCCTAGAAGGAATGGCATGAGAACTGGGGAAAGCTTGCTGGGGTTGCATTGACTACACTTCCCAGGTCTCAGTTGCTGATGTGACATGTCTGTGAGTCGCTAACACACATCACCCAAGGCTTGAGATGAAGAAGGTGAAGGAAGAGACCACACAGAGGTGTCTCATTTGCTGGCTCACTGGGGTTCTGGGCTGGTCCAGCAGAGGGTGGAGGATGCAGGCTGGGCTAAGGGATGAAGTTTCCTGGAGCACGGGTTCGCCAGGATGAAGAGGATCAAAGGGGAAGCAAGGAATGGAAGTAGGGCAAGATACAAAGTTACCCAGAGGTGCTGCTCTGAGGTGACCCAGCTCCTGGGATACATGCTAGCCCTGCCCTTCACAAGACTCACAATGGGCATCTCAGACTTTTATCAGACCTGGAAGGCAGGGCATTGGGCTGAAGAGTTCACCGGAATCACCAGCAAAGACCTTCCAGATTGCTTCCTTCTTTTGTTTCTCTTGGGAACTGATTGTTCCTTCAGGGTTCTAGGAAAAGAGGGCTTGACCAGAAGTCTGCTCTGGCCTCCTCTCAGGTCCTGTGGCGGGTGGGAAGAGCCCAAGGATCAGACTTTGATTCATGCCCCAGCTCTGCTCTTCAAACAAGTCACTGAGTCTCTGTGAACCTCAGTTTCCTCTTCTGTAAAGTGGAGCTAATTCCCCCCACCCCAGGACTGAGTAAACAGTGACTGAACCTGAGTCTCCAAGTGACCTCACACAACATCCTAAGATCTCTCCAGAAGTGCGTGGCCAAACTTGTGGTTGAGAACAGGGTTGACAAACTTTGCCCTACGGGTTTTGAGCCTTCCTCAGCCTGTAAGGTCCATATTATCTCTCCCTCATAAGAATGTGACTGCTCCGAGTTTGACCCAGCTTCTTTACCTTCTCCCCCTCCCTGCCACATCCTTTCCTCTAACCCTGTCCCCTCCCATATCTTGAGATGTGGGTTCATTGATGTAACCACCTGGCCTCTTCTTGTTTCCAGGTTGCTCTTCTGGATATCGACATATGTGGGCCATCGATTCCCAAGATAATGGGATTGGAAGGAGAACAGGTAAGAGCTCCCTGTCAGTCAGTACTTGGTGAGTTGCTGTCTTAGGGGAGCCATGCAACACTGACCTGTCAAACCTAACAAGGAGGAGTAGAGCCCAGGCCTCTGCATGACACGATGAGTGCTGATCCAGTTATGTGCAGCAGCCCCTATGTCCCTCACTGGCTGCTGTGAGCTCAGGCAGGGTTAGCTATAGTCTATCCGTGCCACTCCATAAGACTGGTTTCCATGCCTTCTCAGAAGGGAAGGGAAACAGCGAGTGAAATGCAGAAGTGAGAGGCGGAAATTCAGCTTTGACTGGGAGTGCTGGGCCAGGGTCTGCTCGGATCTGTCCCTGGAAACAAGGGAATCTTTCTGTGCTGTGGTCTCCTTGGGGAACTGAGACTGCAGGGCCAGCAAGTGTCATAGACGAGGACAGGGCCACCACCATCTGCAGAGGCCAGCCCTTCCTCCTGGTTAGCAGGAAGTTCCCAGGAGGGTCCCTGGTGGTGCATGGAGGTGAGGCCGGGGACTCAGTGTCCAGGGCTTTCAAAGCTGACTTCTCTTTACTTTGCACCAGGCGCTGTTTTCAGGATTCAGTGGCTAGCAGGGCAGATAAGCCTTGCAGAGAGGGCAGGCGACAGAGCAGAGGACCGAAGCAGGGGAGGGGGCAGCTCTGGGAGGAGCTGGCACTACACGAAGAAAGAACTGAGGAGCACTCTGGGCTGAGGGGCCAGGGCAGGAGCGGAGCCTGAGGCCGCTGTCCTGTCTTTAGGGAAGGTGCGTTCTGGCAGCATCTGAGGGCACTGGGAGGGCGGTGATGCCTCACTCAGGTGAGACAGCAGGATCCAAATGTCCTCCATTACCTGCACCATCAGTACCACATCTGCAGCATACACGGTATAAACTGTTATAGTTATTAATTATAGCAGTATTTCATACAACTGAAATTTAGCCAGGTGTGGTAGATCATGCCTGTAGTCCTACCTCCTCAGGAGGCCAAGATGGGAGAATTGTGTGAACTCAGGAGTTCCAGGCCAGCCTGGGCAATATAGCGAAGCCCCATCAGAAAAGACAAGTAGAAGTTTTTAAATGATGAGAGAAAAGTGAAACAGAAGCTCCACTGTTCTATTGGATCTTCAGGTTTCAGATCAGTGACTTAGTTAACAACTACGAACAAAAGTGAATAGGGTTTTTAAAAAAAATAACTGTCGAAATCACTCAGAAAGGACCACATACTGATGACTGCACTTACATGAAGTGTGCAGAATAGGCAAATCCATAACAAAGCAGATTTGGGGTCACCTGAGACTGGGGAGTGCAGGAGGGTCAGAGCTAAAGAATACAGGGCTTCTTCCTGGAGTCACGAGAGTGCCCTAAAGTTGACTTGGTGTGGATGTGTAGCTCTGCAGTTATGCAGAAAGCCCCGAAATCGTACACTTTCCATGGGTGAGTTGTATGGTACATGGGTCAGATCTTAATAAAGCTGTTTAGAAAAGTAAACTTCAAAAAAAAAATCAGCCTTTGGTTTTGGCTGTTGTATGTTGCTCTACACTTAGTGTTTCATCCAGGTGTAGCAGTGTACCTATAATCCAGGAGGCAGAGGAAGGAGGATTGCAAGTTCAAGGCCAGCCTGGGCCACACAGACCCTGTTTCAAAAAAAATAGAACAAAGCGTAATTCCTAAGAATGATCTGTAATTGGAAGTTGCGTAAGTTCTAGTTTCATACTAAAGAGGCCTTAAACCCCAATAAGAACCTATCAGAGGGAGGGAGTCCGAGTCTTGAAGTAGCCCCAGGGTTTCCTGGTGACCCCAGCTCCTCCTTAGGGACAGCAGGCTGGATCCACAGCTCAGGCCAATCACAAGCCAGGCTTTGAACCAACTGTGCCACTAAGGGTAATTCCCTTTACTCTTGTACTTTTCGGGGAGAGAAAAAAAAGCAACTTGGTTGCTCTACAGTTAACTGTTTTCTTAACAACCCCCAACCAATTTCTCTTTACTCTTTTCAAATGCCTCAGAATTCTCTTTGAACTTGAGTAATCTTGGTTCCTTGACCAGAGCAGATGTGGGAAGCCAAGAGACTCAACTGAATGGCACCCTCCATTACCCCAACTGCTCACACCATCCCTTGTCAGGGATTTAGCGGGACTTTGTGCGATGGATATATTGCAGGAAACTATTCTGTCTGTGCATAATGTCTCACAGTATGTCCACATTCACACAGGTTCACCAGAGCGGCTCGGGCTGGTCTCCAGTGGTGAGTTTTCTCCTCTTGGCCTTATTGGCAGTGGGGGGATGGGGGGCAACAACTGTACATAATGGTTTATGGCGAGCTGGCAGTATTTTCCTCAACCCACCTACTGATCAACCCATAGATACTTGTTGAGGTACCTTTCCAGGCACAGGGGAGGTAATTAAGACCAGGGACTGGCAAAACTTTGTCTGTAAAGGAGCAAAAAGTAAATAATTTCAGCTCCTGTACCTACATATTCTGCTGGTGTAGCTCAGAAGTCATAACACGTGACTGAGTGACCACACATGTTCCAATAAAACTTTATTTAAAAACTGGCTGGGCATGATGGCTCATGCTTATAATCCTAGCTGCTTGGGAGGCTGAGACTGGAAGGATTGAGGTTTGTGACCAGCTTCAGCAAAAGTTAACAAGATTCCATCTCAACAAACAAGCTGGGCGTGGTGGTGTACGCCTGTCATTCCAGCTGCGTGGAAGGCAGAGGTAAGGAGGGTCACAGTCTGAAGCCAGCTCAGGCAAAAAGTACAAGACTATCTGAAAAATAAACTAAAGCAAAAAGGGCACAAGTGGTAGAGCCTGCCTAGCAAGTGTGAGGCTCTGTGTTCAATTCCTAGTGCCACCAAAAACCAAAAGCAGTTGGTAGTATCAGGTCATAGTTTGCAAACCCAATTAAGACCGTCGAAGTGACAGCATTACCTGTCATACTGAGTTGCCTGTTGTTGCAGCACAGGCCTCACAGGCCACTTTCAGATCCCCTTACTGTGCTGACCATTTCAGAAATGGTCTGCAGAGTGAATAGACTCAAGGTCACATAGTCACTTTGCCCCCAAAATAGTTTTTTCAGCCAGAACCCAGACAGAGGCCACAGGGAGGTGCCACGTTGTGGTCTCGAGTACAGTGTGTCTTGCCCTTGCCCCTGTTCCTTCTGCAGTATGTGGAAGACAACCTGGGTGTGATGTCTGTGGGTTTCCTGCTCAGCAGCCCTGATGATGCTGTCATCTGGAGGGGACCCAAGAAAAGCGGTTCGTCACCTCTGCTCCTCTTCTCACATTCTTGGTTCCACTTATATTTTGACCTGTCATGGTGGCAGCAATCACCTGGGGGCCTGTGGTCATCAGTATTCCATGGTGCTGGGGAGGGAACCAGGGCCTCACACATGCTGGGCTAGCACTCCCCTCCAAGCCACACTCCAGCCCCAGTGTGCTGTTTGTAAGCAGGGTTGCCTCTGTCCTCCCTGGCTGAAGAGAGCCGAGAAGCAACAGTTCCCATTGTAACTTTCAATATTGGTTGTGAGTTTCATCTCCTAAGGTTTCTAGGGTCCTAGTGTGGCTTTGTGATAGCTTCTGTGTGTCAGAGAGAGAAGGGTGTGAGCTGAGACTGGCCAGGTTGATTAGGATCAAGACATCAGGTGATAGGAAGGCAGAGTGTCCTCTTCTCACATCACATGCCCCCTGGGGACAGTTGAGCACCACTGCCATAGAGCATAGTGCTCTGAGGAATCACTGCAGAAGAGGAAGAGAAAGGCAGCAGCCTCCGCTCCTCTCCAGGCATGATCAAGCAGTTCCTGCGTGACGTGGACTGGGGAGATGTTGACTATCTCATCGTGGACACCCCGCCAGGCACATCCGATGAACACCTCTCAGTTGTCCAGTATCTGGCAGCAGCACATATCGATGGGGCTGTGATCATCACGACCCCCCAGGTAAGTGAGCACCCAAGGAAGCAGGGTCTAAACTGTGCTCTGCGTGGGAAGAGACACTGGCCTCATAGCAGCTCTTCAGAACTTGGGTCCACAGGCACCCCCGGTGTGGATCCGCAGAAACCTCTTGTTGACAGCTGTCTTGGGGGCGGGGGCAGCTCAGGTAGAGCAGGCTTAGTGTGCACAAGGTTCTGGGTTCCATCCGCAGCACCAAAGATAAACAAAGAGCCCACCCTTAACATTGTTCAAGACGAGGGACAAACTGAGCAGGTACCAGCCTTTCTCTGAAAACCACAGAGCTCCCCACTTTTGTAACACTGTTTCTGAAAAGATGGCTTCAATGTGGGGACAGCCGCTTTCTCAGAGCCCCTCACGTCCAGCATTGCACAGGTAGAGTGGTCTGTTAGGGATCACTTTTAACAGCAGCACAGTTTCATTCATAGGACACCAAGCAGAGAACCACAGAGTGCAGTGAGATGAGAGACAAATAACAGGCAGTCCACCTTCCAGTGAAAGGCCTTTTGCTCAGGGCTGAGAGCTACGTGTGTCTCAGAAGGTGAGGAGATAGCTTGAAGCCCTGAGCCTTTCCAGAGCCACAGAAGTTCAGGAGCAGCCATTCCTGGGAGTAAAGAGCCAGACCAGCACTTGGACTGATGAATGGCAAGAATAGGGAGGGAACGAGGCAGTTTGTACACAGTGACGTGACACTGTGCCTATGATGAGCAGTCAAAGTGCAGAAGGGTCTTTGATCCAGAGGGCAGTGCTCCTTCTCTTCTTCTTGTCCACAAAGCTGAGTTGTACAGTGTCAGTCAGGGCTCAGTAGTTTTTCTCTGAAGGGCCGGCAGTAATACTTCAGGATTTGTAGCCTGTAACATCTCTGATTCAGTGGTGCCATTAGAGGGTGAAGGCAGCCCCGACATCTGTAGAAGAATGGACCTGGCTTCTTCCAGAAGGGCTTGGGCGGCAGAAGCAAGCAGCCAGCCAGGTTTGGCCCCAGAGCATGGTTTGCAAACAGCATGCACTTTTGTCTCTGGGTGGAGCGTTCGCAGGAGGTAGAGAGGCTCACAGGTCACTTTTCTCCAGATCCTCCAGTGTTTCTGTTCAGCTGTTCATGTTTATCCTCATGGGATTTATGAGAAATCAGTGATTAGAGCAGGGCTATCGGGCACTCACAAGCACTGACTGAGTGGTACAGATCTCCAAGGTGCATAATGACAGGCCATCTCCCTGGCTATGTATATGTCCGTTTCTTGTCTTTGATTTTCGAATAACTGGTCTGTTTGGCCCTGGGACCGTAGGAGGTGTCGCTCCAGGACGTCCGGAAGGAAATCAGCTTCTGCCACAAAGTGAAGCTGCCCATCATTGGGGTGGTGGAGAACATGAGCGGTTTCGTGTGCCCCAAGTGCAAGGTGAGGGTGCAGCCCGAGGGTGGACACACTGATCCTGCTTCCCCAACCCACAGTCTTCAGCTGTGCGCTGAAGGAAAATGCCCATGTTGACTGGTGTGTAACTTCAACATGAGCCATTGCTTCAAGGGCTTCTGGAAATGTGAGGCATTCTCGTTATACTGAAGCAAAATCAGGTTTTCTCCACTTCATTCTCCTCGCAGAAAGAATCTCAGATATTCCCTCCCACGACCGGGGGTGCAGAGATCATGTGCCAGGACCTGAAGGTCCCTCTCCTTGCCAAAGTGCCTCTGGACCCGCACATAGGTGGGTGAGTCGGAATGTCCAGTTCCCACCAGCACCAGGTGGGGCATCCCTGTCCACTCAACCCTCACAACATGACAAATGGAAGAGGGACATTGGGGCCAGACCCCACGGAGCTCATGGCTGTCAGCACGCCTGGGAGGGCTGGGGCACGAGGAGAGGATTGTGCCATCCAGTGAGAGCTGAAACTGCAAAAATGGGCGATGGTGCTGCAGAACCCTGTGGGGAAGAGCCAGAGCGGCAGTTTGGGGGTGCCTGCCTCTTGAAAATGGGAAAGGGGAGATGTTCTGAGGATGGAGGAGCCCCAGAGAACCCCAGCCACCCCAGGCACCTAGAATAGTGCCTCATTCCCACATCTAAAACTACTTCTGTGCTACTTGGTTCCCCTATAAAATGCAGAAAGTGCCAGCTGCCTTCTAGCCTGCCGCAGGGTCAAAAACACTCACCAAGCAGCCACCCACAGACCTGCTAAGAGTTTCCTTCATGTTTTATGGGAGCAGGGGCCTGGTGAACGAGTGAGCAACAGAGTGGCTGCCCCAGTGCGCAGCACCGTCACCCTTGGCCTATGCCTGTGCCTTAGGCAGGTCTCTCTACATAAAATTGGTGGTCAACAGATTTATGAGGGGAAGTGTGAGAGGGGACAAGGGGGCCTGAGCCTGTGCTGGAGGACGGGGAGGTGACTGCAGCCCATGGGAGCTTCTAGGTCTGCAGGAGTCTCAGCAGCTGTGCAGGCCACAGGAAAGTTAGGTACAGCATCAGGGCGTCCTCAAGCCCACTTCTGTCAGAGTGGCCATTTCTTCCCTGGGGTAACATGGGATCCTAGAGACAGGAGCCACACAGCCAGGAAGGACTAGCAGTGCATTCTGCTGCTGTGGATGACCTTGAAGATGAGCTCATACAGGGGAAAGACAGATGAGGAACGTGGCCTGTGTACATATGCCACGTGATACACGTTTCTAGACGCCCAAGCACCAGGACCTGTTGAGACTGGCTTTTCTGGTATTTTCCTTTGACATTCTGTACTTTAAAAAAAAATTGTGAGCATTTATTATCTTTTTACTGAAAAGAATTAATCTCTTCCTCCCGTGCCGGGGATTATCTGATCTCTTACACAGACTCCTGGGCTGTCCCCTGAGCTGCTGAGTCACTTCTCTGTGGGCGGGGAACCTGCCTTCGCCACACACCACCCAGCTGAAGTGCAGCTGTGGAGAAGTGGCAGCCAGTTGAGGCCCTTGGGATCCCGATGTTCTTTCCTAGCTTTGGTCTCCACGAGTGGGGTGGGTGTCAGTCATTACTTGTCATAGCCACAGAAAGCCCAGAGGTCTGGTTGCACTGCATCCTCTTCAAGGATCTTGTTTTCTTTCGTTTGTCTCTTTAAGGTAAGAGCTGTGACAAAGGCCAGTCTTTTTTTGTTGAAGCGCCGGGCTCACCAGCCACATTAGCCTACAGAAGTGTGATTAAAAGTAAGTGTTTAGAGGCTTTGGTGAAGCCAGCCACCTCTGGCCAGGAAGTCACATAAAAGAGCAAAGTGGGCTGGATGGGGACAGCCTTCCATTTAGAATTAGGTGGTCACCACCACCACCAGCCTCTGCTGGGGGCAAAGGGGAGGTGGGGATTGGGATGACCACAGAGTCATATCCTCAGCCCAGGAAGTCTTGAGAAATCTCCCAGTGTGTCAGTAGTATGAACTAATTCATAGATTAAAAGACATGGGGAGGGTGAAACCTATGGTAAAGAAATACACCTCAGTAAGGCTATTTAAAGATTGGTTTATGGGCTGGAGGGGTGCTCAAGCAGTGGAGTGCCTGTCTAGCAAACATGAAGCTGTGAGTTCAAACCCTGGTATCACCAAAAACAAAACAGAACAAAATAAAACAAAAATAAAAAATTAATTTAAAAAATCCTAAGCCACAGTGAGCCAAAGCAAGTCCATGAGCACGCCAGATTCTGCAATGGCAGCCCCAAGGCAGAGGCAACAATAGTGAGAGCTCTCACCTGTTGTCTTGTTTTCCAGGAATCCAAGAATTTTGTAGTGCCCAGCAGTCAAACAAAGAGAACCTCATCAGCTCCTGAGAACACAGGACATTGCCGAGGAACCTGCCAGTGACATGTCTGCCACACCTGGCAGCGTGGGGATGAGTAGACTCTCAGGTACAAAAGGAGTGACACTGCCATGGTATGAAGTCACTCTGAGATGCTTTAATCATCTGTTTCCCGTGCAGTTTCTTGAGCTCATAGGTATGAGGTATGCTTCACACGTGCCATTATAAAATAAAATGTATCCTCCATCCTGTCCTGTGAGACTGCTTCTGGACACCAAAGGACTGGGGACAGGGCTGGCAGCCCACTGGGCAATGGAAATGCCTGTCTAGGCCATTTCTGCCTCTGATGATGAGTCGGCCTAGGAAGGAACCAAAGGGATTGATGTGTGCTTTGATGTAGAAAACAGCATTGCCACACAGTTCCCCATCAGATGTAGGGAAAATCTAGGCAGCGGCAGAACCTGGCACTGGGGTTCACTCTGGGATCAGTACACACCGTGCAGCTGGGAGCCATTAAAAATCCCTTGAAAAAGCCTGTAAGTCAACCATAGGACAGAGTCTGTGGTCTGTGTGTACACCCTGTTAGTAATATGTGCACAGTAATTTCCAGGGTCACATGCAAACAATTTTCAGGTTTTTTTTGAAAGACAGATATAAACTCTACATCCTCATGATTCAAGGACAAGAGACATGGGAACTGAGAATAGTTGAGGGAAGAGTAAATTCCTGTTTTCCACACCACTCTGAGAAGAAAAGTGGAAGGTGGGCAAATCCCCCATTCTTTCCCTCCCATTCTCCATCTCCTCCCACCCTTTTACACCTGCACATGTGGTTAGATTTGCCTGGGTTCCGTAAGGACTGTGGGACCCGTCTGAAGGCCAATGGGGCTGCACCCCTGGGCAGTCCAGTGCAGTCTGACTCTAGCCTTGCTATAGCTGGTCCCCAACACTTTGCAATGGATCTTGGGCACAGAGGGACAGGAGATGTATGTCCCCAAGTTCTTGGGGCCACCAACCTGGATTATCTCACCTAATGTTGATGGATCTCCAGCCCCTCAAGCCCAGGCTTCTGAAAGTCACCTGGGGAGCCCTGCAATGGGAAAAGCCAACCATGGCTTCTGTCCCGGCCTGTGAGCAAGCTGATGGGAGACCTGCAGACCTGCGTGCTTCCTGTCTCAGCAGCATCATTCAAGTCCAAGGTGGCTCAAACCTCTACAGGATGAGCTTGGTCAAGTCTAAATACTCACCTAGTTCTTCTACAATTATCTGCTAACTTCAAAAAATCCTTTGCGATTATTTCCTTAATTCTGTGGTTTTTAAAAATCACTAAAAATTAAATGGCAGTCACAAAAGGACAGACACTTGTTGACTGCACCAATGTGAGGTCCTTACAGCAGGCAAATCCATGGGGACAAAGAATAGTGGGTGCCAGCGGCTGGGGCTGGGTGGGGAGTTGGTGCTTAATGGGCAGAGTTTCAGTCTGGGAAGACGGAAAAGGTTCTGGAGATGGATGTTGTGATGGGTGCACCCGCTGCCAGAACTGCACTTGGAAATGGTTAAATGGTCAACTTCGTGTATGTTTTACCATAATAAAAAGCACAGCAGTGGCAGCCTTCCTTCACTCTGCATGTCCTGAAACCTCAGTAACTCACCGTCTGGAACACGGTCTGGGACAGAAAACTGGCTGCGACTTTGCTGATGTCACTCTCGCCTCCCATCTTACAAAGGATGTAGCCATAGAGGTTGGCAGCTTGGAGCGAAATCCCAGCGATCACAAGAGCCTGCGCCCGGGCAAAGCAGAGGAGCCCTGCTGAGAGCAAAGGTGACAGGAGGGGCCCTGGCCTGTGCCTGCACAGATACCCTGGACAGTCTGTCTTCATCTCTGGGCTGTCCCAGCTCATAGGGAGGAGAGGAGAGCAGAGAAACCAAAGCTGCCCAAGCTCACAGAACAGAGGTTTGGAGCCCCACTTGTAATTACACTGTTGCTCAGACCCTGCCCAGACATTTTGTCTCCACTGAATAGACTAGACCATGGCAGTGAAATAGCAGACCTCCAAGATAAAACTTCACAACTCTTAGGCTTATTCCCACCTGGGATGGGATATAATGCTACATGTTTAAGAAAAAGAAAGAAAGAAAACTCCTTCCTTGGGGCTGAGGATGTAGCCAGTGGAGCCCTTGCTGAGCATGTGTGAAGCCCCGGGCCTGGGTTCAATCCCCAGTACCACAAAACAAACGAGTGAAAATCCTCTCTTACCAGCCTTGTTCATAAGAACCCAACAGTCATAACGAAGCAATGATTGTTACCTAATGGAGGACAGGCAGAACGTGGCACTGTTCCACCATAAAAAGGAATGTTGTACTGATGGACCTTGAAGATAACCAAAGTGAAAGCCAGTCACAAATGGCTGTGCATTGCATGACGCCAGCCATAGAAGGCCCAGAGGGGCTGGGGATGTAGCTCACATACGCGGCTCTGGCTTGATGCCCAGGGCCATGAAAAATAAGTAAAACATCTCAGAATAGGCAAATCTAAACAGAATATGGGTAAGTGGGTGCCGGCGGGGCAGGGGGGGGGGGTTGAGGGGAAAAGTGACATAGTGATGTCTAAAGGATACAGAGTGGCTTTGGGGGGGATGGTTGAAATGTCCAGAAAGTGCTATAATCTATCAACCAATAACAAGTGACAGAACCCACTCCTGGAGCCAGTGCTTTGTGGAGTTGTCAAAGAACTTCAGGCTCAAGGTGCTGCCTTACCAGCCACTTCAGCTTCAAGGAAAACAGGGCGCTGAAGAAGAACAAGATCCAGATCACGGGGCAGATGATCAGGCCAAGCCAGAAGATCCGTGCTTCGGCTTCCGTGGCGGTGACGTGTTGTGAAGAGACCTGGAAAGGAATTCTGCTTCAAAACCAGCAAACATGGCCATAAAGGCTGTGACGACCATGCCCATTTCACACGCGCCCTGGCTATATTATGTTCACGTTTGGCAGAGCGCCTGCACACGTGGGATTTGCGTAGGGTGGGAATCAGACACAACTTCACGGGCACCCACGGCATCTTCCCAGGTCCCGCCAGCCCCTCCGGTCATGGAGCGCACCTTTCTGGCTTCAAACACCCAGTGACTTTTCCCATCTTCATCTATCTGGTTCCACCACCGAAGGCCCACCAGGAGTCTTCCAGTCACATTCTGAGGCAAGTGGACAGAAGGACCATGAGGTTGCCATGGACACTGAGTAGCCAAGTCACCAGTTCCTGTTAAACCTGCACTCCCCGCAGGAAGAAAGGGCCTGGGGCAGGAGCTGTTTCTCCAATCTGCTTCTGATCTTTAAGCTGACTTTAAAAAGAGACACTCCCCCAAAGCATATGCATATTTGTATGTTCATACTCCATATGCAGTGTTTATGTTGTGGCATATGACGATCCAAAGCCGTGTGGGGTGAACACCCTCATTGGGGCATGTATGTGTGGCCATGGCAGCTGGTACCCGGGAGCCATTCATTAAATACCCGACGTGCACTGAACTCTCTAATGCTACAGGACGGTGCACAAAATCCTTACGTATGTGCTGGACCTTACACCCAAGTCCCTCTGGGTCCCACATGCTTAGGGCATGTGTGGGAACAAAAACCCACACATCCCAATACAGATGGCATCACCAAGAGAGGGGCCTTACCTTCACAGACCAGAAGTCAAAGGACAGGAGGAGGAGCACTGTGACAAAGCAGCCCACGAAGCTCTTGCTGAACCAATCACAGCACACATAGGTGACAATGGCACTCACTCGGAAGAACAGGTGGAAGAACGTGGCCAGGGATGCCTAGGGGACAACCCAGAGGTACCCTTACTCCAGGAGCCAAGAGGAAGGTGGTTAAACTGTGGTTCCAGCCTCTCTGTGTGGCTTTTGGCGTTTTATCGAAACTCTTGGGCAGAGAGCACCCGAGGCCCCACTCCAAGTCCTGAAACTCATTACCCCACCAGCAGTACTGCTCGCTTGCTCTCCAAGAATCCAGTACTTTCCCCTAATTTGACTCCACGTTCCACTTGCCCTTCTTGGAAACACAGCCACCTTTGAAGTGAAATTTGACTGCCATCGCTTATCTTCCCACCGAGCCGCAACAATGACCAGTTCCCCAAAGGTGAAGTTTGGGTTATTCCACTGGTGGTGACAGCACTCGTACAGCTGCGGGGAGTGGCAGAGCTCTTGTCACCAGGGGGCACGGGCTTCTGGGGAGAAGACATGGCCCTGACCGCTCAGCAGTTGAATGGCAGCACCTGAGGCTGAAACTGAACCTGGGGAAGATGGTTCCTGCTCACTGTGCTTCAGGCAGCAACCTGCCAGAGAGGAGGGGGAGGCGGAGGATACACTGCTTGCACAGCAGAGAGGAGGAGCATGGGGAAGATTGTCCCCCGATTGTCTGGAGCAAATAGCATATGTCTACAGGGGTCAGGTGACAACGGCAGCGGGTGACATGGGCCAGAGAGAAGGCTGTAGTAGCTTTGTTTCTCATTTTATTTTTGGTTTTTTTTTTTTTTTGAGATGGTCTCACTGTGAAGCCCAGCCTTACCTTGAACTCTCAATTCTACTACCTTGGCCTCCCAAGTGCTGGGATTACAAGTGTGTGCCATGCCTGACTGGCTGTCTGTTTCTATGGTGTCCCAATTTCGATAGCACACACAGAGAACAGTACTCAGCTGGGGTGAAGAGAAAACTTCAGCAGAGCCCCTTGATACATGGCCTTAGATCACCACCACAGGGACAGGGGAGGGGGGTGACCTTCATGAAGAGCCAGAATCCAGGCTTGCAGTGGGAAATTGGGTTTTGAAATAATGGCAGCCAACACCAGTTACAACAACAAAAATACTTTAAAATAGTCCTTGGCATTTAAGATTCATCAAGAAGCCTGTTTGTTGCTGGGTGTTGGTGACTCACGTCTATAATCCTAGCTACTCAGGAGGCAGAGATCAGGAGGATCAAAGTTCAAGGCCAGCCTGGGCAAATAGTTCATGGGACCTTATCTCGAAAAAAACCCAACACAAAACAGGGCTGGTGGAGTGGCTGAAGGTATAGACACTGAGTTCAAACACCTGAACTATGGGGGTGAAAAAAAAAGCCTATTTGTTGTGTTGAGTCTTGTGATCAAGTCATTTCAGATCACTGGGAACATGTGTGTTGTTTGGAGGACAGTGTGGATGCAGAAGACCTAAAACAATATCCATGTAGAAGTATACAGTTAACTTCTCAAAAGATGCATAACAGGTGTGTGCTGACCTGAGTAAAACCTGGAGGATCATGTGTTTGAATAAATCCCCGTCCACCCCCATTTTTCTTTTCTTATCTGTGGTTTTCCTAAAATAAAGTGCAGAATAAATTTCAATTGTTGTAAGGTTCTACTTGGTTGGGTTCTGTTCACTGGCCATTTCCTTAACTTGTTAATAGGAGGTGTTATTATAATTATTGTTATTCAAACAAAGGCCTGAGCAAGTGGAGCAGGTGTATTGTGCTTTAAACTATGGCTTAAATCCTGTCTTGTGCAGGTTGCTCACTTAGCACCCTCCAAATCCTCATTGACCGGTCTGGGCCCCCAGCTAATACCCACGTGTGGCCTCAGATGAGTTTTCATTTCCAGATTCTGCAAGACCGTGGTGTAGACCCGCACACCCAGGCAATAGCCTCTGCTCAGTGCCATTGGCTCTGAGCTCTGAGCTGCGAGAGGCAGACACAGCATAATGGTTCGGAGCTGCCTGGGCGCTAGATGGCCTGGTTCCCAATCCTCTCCCTTTGCTCCATAACCTCAACCCCTCAGCTTCCCCTTCTGTACAGTGGGGTTGTGACAGCAGCCACTTCCTAGGACACTAGGTGTGAAGTGTCCATATGAAGTGTTTTGACACACACACTGCTGATAACTGGGGACAAGTATCGCGGCCTGCAGTCACTCCAAATAGTTCCGTTGCCAAGGAGCTACCCTGTAAAATCCCCTTTGGCCACAACACACACACATTCACTCTCTCTCTCTCTCTCTCTCTCTCTCTCTCTCTCATGCTCAGTCTAACAGGTGACATTTTCCTCTCATTCCACAAGCTAGGGAAAAAGTCTGTTATCTCAAGGAGAAAAGGAGAGAAAATGACACCAGTGTGGTAGGGGACAAATAAATTCCTCAGAGTGTCCAGGTGAGAAAATCTTGAGGGTTTGTTCAAGTCTCCTGTATTGGTAAACCCATTTCACAGCTCTGGGCCCAGGGCAGTCACCTGTTGCCTTGCTCCCTGGAGGAAACATGACTCCAGTTGCTCAGACTCGGGTGTGGGGACCGCAACACAAATTTAACAAAAGCAAAGCACTGTTTTGAGAAACTGAAGCCCAGGGTCAAATCTGACCCCCTGCTTGCTTTTGTAAATACAGTTTTATTGTAAATACAGTAAATACTCATTTACTGGCCAGTGAAACCGAAGTATTTGCCCAGAAAGTGTGCAGGACAGTTAAGTGATGAGCAGGCTCCACTCAGAACTAACTGAAATGAATCAAACTGCCACTCCTGTCCCCTCCCCAAATCCACTTTCAGACACTGAGGGTGGGAGGTGCCCGACTGGCAGAACCGATGGATGGTGCTAGAACTAGAACAGGGTTGTCTCTGGGTACCTGTTAGAACAGTAGTGACTGAAGCTGCTCAGGGAGCCTTCTGAGTCTGGGGGTGCGTCAGGCCTCGGTCTCCTATGTATACATGGGTAAAAATAAATTTGTAACAGGAACTTAAACTGCTTTGCTGAAAAGCACTGACTCCTTACTTAGGCCCATGACTTAACTAAAAACAGGAGAAGCTTGGCGTCCCTGCCTCCATTTTGCATCTGTCTTTGCTCTGAGCCCTTCACCTTGCACCCATCCTGGAGTCCAGGAAGGACAGGACTGACTGATAACATAACTGATAACAGGGACAGAGGAAACAGCCCCCAAGGAAGGGACCAGCAGGGCCTCCACAGGACAACCACCAGGCAACCATGTCATGCTTATCCTGACCAGATTGCTCTCTCAACCCATAACAGTGATAGCAACTTGTACAGTACTCCTCCCAAACCAGTACTGAGATAATGGTCAACCAGGCCACACCTGGGACTGTAACTATGCACACCTCTCACCCTGCCCCGATTCTTTCTCAGTTTAAACCAAAAGCTCAAGCCCGTGCGCTGGAGACAGCTGAAGTGCTGTCTTCCTGCAGCCGCCCGTGCTGTATGCTCACCCTCCTCCTCTGCCCTTTACGTTTGCCCCCCCTCTCTGTGGCATATGGGGTAAGTAGCCAGACCTGACGTGGAAACCCAGGAGTTGGACCTAGGACCTAAAATTGCAGTTCCAAATTGAAACATTCACTTACAACTCATGCACTTCACATACGCCACACATCCATTTTTTAAACAAATGTCGTGTTGGAAGCCACTGGCCAAAGACAAATCTTTGCAAACCACCGTAAAAACACTGCCTGTGAGACAAGCCAGTGATCCCAGTCCTCTTGATCGCAGGCCTCTGCGTGCACTCAAATGAGCTGAAAACATGTCTGCCCCAGCAGCAACACATGAACATTCACGAAGCTTTCTCCAGAACTGCCAAAACCCAGAAGCAACTGAGATGTCCTTGGGTGGCAGAATGGACAGACGGTGGCCCAGTCAGACAATAGGATGTTAGTCAATACCGAAAAGAAGGCATAAAAAGACAAGGCAGAGCCTTAAACATATAGTGCTAAGTGAACGAAGCCGGTAGGGAACAGCTGCAGGGGGGACTCCACCTCCCAGACATTCTAGAAAAGACAAAACTCTGGGGACAGTACAAAGAGGTGAGCATGGGATTTGGGGACAGGGCAGCTATCCTTTGTGATACTGTAACAGTGGACAGTGCTATCATACGTTTGCCAAATCCCACAGGATGTCCAACACAGAGGGAACCCTAGGCCAGTCATGGTGGTGCCCATCTGTGATCCCAGCACTCAGGAGCCTGAGGCAGGAGGATCATGAGTTCAAGGACAGCCTGGGTTATAAAGGGAGACCATGCCTCAAAAATAGCCAAATAAAGGGATAGCTACAGACTTTGTTTAACAATACATTGAGCCGGGCATGGTGGCTCATGAGCCTGTAATCCCATCTACTTTCCAGCCCAGGCAAAAAGTTTAAGAGACCCCATCTCAACAAATAAAAAAGCCGGGCATGGTGGTACAAGACTGTCATCTCAGCTATGGTAGGGAGCATGAAATAGGAGGATCAGGGTGGAGTGTGCCTCAAGTGGTACAGTACCTACCCAGCAAGTGTGAGACCCTGAGTTCAAACTCAGTACCATCAAAAAAAAAAAGTTAAAAAATAAAAGGAGGATCAAAGTCCAGGTTAACTTGGGTAAGAAGGAAGACCTTATCTCAAAAATAACGAGGGTAAAAGGGCTGCAGGTGTGGCTCAAGTGATAGAGCACCTGCCTAGCCAGCAGGAAGCCCTGAGTTCAAAACCCTAGTGCTACAAAAAAAATTACTGGATCATCAGTTGTAACAAACGTACCACACCAATGCAAGCTGTGAGTAATAGGGGAAATTGTGGAGTGGGGAGGGGCTTTTGGGAACTGTACTTTCTGGTCAGTTTTTCCATAAACCTAAACTGCTCTCACAACAGAGGCATGGCTGGGCACTGGTGGCTCACGCCTATAATCCTAGCTATCCAGAAAGCAGAGATCAGGAGGATTGCAGTTCAAAGCCAACCCAGGCAAATAGTTCCCGAGACCCTATCTCAAAAAAACCCATCACAAAAAGGGCTGGTCAAGTGGCTCAAGGTATAGGCCGTGAGTTCAAACCTCAGTACCTCAAAAACAGACAAAAACCCCAGAGATACAGGTTATAATAAAGTGGGCAGACACAGGTTGAGGATGGGGTCTCTGGGGGCAGGGCGTCAGCCTTTACACAAATGCAATGAAAACGGGTCTGTACCTGTTCACTGCGAGGCCCGTCCCACGCCTCCCACCAGCTCTGAGGCAGGCCCGTCCTAAGCTCAGCAATGGCTGACATCTTTAGAATTACTTTGAAAACTGCATTGCGGGTTAGTGGTGGCGGTGGCTGACTGTTTTGTGGTGCTGGAGTTTGAACTCAGGGCTCTGTGTCTGCCCAGCAGGGCTCTATTGCTTGATCCACACCCTCAGTCCTTTTTTGCTTCCAGTATTGTTTGAATAGGATCTTGAGTTTATACCCAGACTGCACTGTTGGCATAACTGGGATGACAGGTGTGCACCACTGGGCCCACTTTTATTGGTTGAGATGGGGACTCACAAATGTTTTGTCCAAGTTGGCCTCAAAGTGTGATTCTCCCAATCTCCCATCTGCTGAGTAGCTAGGATTACAGGCATGAATCACAGTGCTGTGTAGCTTGAACTCTTGATCCTCCTGCCTCAGTCTCCTGAGTGCTGGGCTTACAGATGTGCACCAGCACTCCAGATTTTTAAAACCGTCTTCTGCTTACTTCCTCCTCAAACATCCCAATTTAAATTTGGTTGTCTCTGAGGCACTCAGGAACTCATTCTGCTTGTCAGGGTGGCACAGATCTAAGGAAGGCATTATCTTTCCTTTCCATTTGCTTTCTGGGTGAAAGCAGGTCCCAAGAAGCTGAGAAGCCACTAAAAGTCAGTGTGGGGGTGGGAAGATGAAACAGGCTGGCCAGGTGTGATCCCCAGCCAGGCTATGGGAAAGTCAGGTTCACCGTCCTCTGTACTTTCATGTGAATTTGAATTAAAAAGTAGGAAAAGAAAGAAGTCATCAGAAATTAGTCGTGATCTGGCATTAAGGCTAGATGCCTGTCCCAGTAAACCAAGCCCAGAGGGTGACATTCTCCTGCCTGGGTGGCCCATGTGTGGTTAAAAAAAATCAGACCCAAAAATCCCCAATTGAGTAACTGGCCACTGCAGCTGGATGTATGAGGAAAATTCCAGAACACAGGTCCTTTCTTCTGGGTTTACCAGTTCCTCTTCAAAAGGATTGGTGGAGGCTCAGTGACCAACTGCCCCACCCAGACAGCCTGGGACCATGAAAACCAACCAGAGTCCAGTCCAAATGTCTGCTCCATCCTTGCTGGGGTTACAGCACAGGCCACGGTGTAAGCAACTGAACCTGAGACTGCCCATCTGTAGAATGGGGGAGGAGCATTTGCCTCAGTTGTCTGAAATAAATTACTTGTGGTGCCGGCTGTCACCCACGCATGGTTTGAGTCATTAATAGGGAGGACTTTTGAGAACGGAAGAAAACAATGTAACCAGGATGTACTTCTGCATGTCTTTTGTTAGGCTGCTGTGTTTCCCCCACTGTTAAAAATGAATGGGAGGTGGCTATTTATTTCTCCCACCCAGACACCCACTTACGCTCAGATGACCTCGGTGCTAACGGCAATGGCCACCATGAAGATGCCAGGAAGAAGGAAGGGGTGCTGGCTGTCTGCAACCACTTCTCCCTGCCAGCTCCCACCATCCCCTAGGTGGTGGTTGGAAATTCGGAATTTGCGCCCCCACAGACCCTGAGCCAGTGTGCAAGTTAACAAGCCAGGCAACACATGACGCCCTGACAGTATGACAGCCCGACTCCACAATCAGCTAGTTCCAGGAACGAAGCCAACGGGGCCTTAGGGACCCAAGCCTAAAAAGCAGAGGTCCGTACGCCCTTCAGAACTTGGGTCTGTACTAACCCAGGGCTGCATGGCACCCTC